CAAACCTCCCATCAGGTCCAGAACGGGACCCTGCCATCAGGTCCAGGTCCAGAACCGGACCCTGCCATCAGGTCCAGGTCCAGAACGGGACCCTGCCATCAGGTCCAGGTCCAGAACCGGACCCTGCCATCAGGTCCAGGTCCAGAACCGGACTCGGTCATCAGGTCCAGGTCCAGAACCGGACCCTGAGTCCTGTCGGTCCTGTCCCTGGGAATGATAATCAGGACCTGTAGATCTGGTTCTGCAGAGCAGTTGCTCCTCAGCGGTTCGGTTCTGGTTCGGTGGGTCACCTGTAGTAGTAGACGTCACTCTTTCCGGCGCTCAGTCCGGACTTCCGGATCACTTCCTCCTTCTTCCATCCGGGCGGCAGAGCCGGACAGTCCGTCCTCTTCCTCTCCATCGCCGCTCGGTCCCACCGATCCTGGTCGGTTCCGGTAAGTGACAAACAGGCAGTCTGACGTCACCAGCGTTAACGGCTGCGGTTCCGCCCCGGTTCGGTCTCTGTCCTCTCGGTCCAACTCGTTTAGGAAAGTTCCGGTTCTGGAAGATCCGGAGCGAATATCGGCTTCGGTTCGGTGCTGGACCAGCTCAGCTGGACCAACGGCAGGCTGTGACGTCTGAGATGACGTGAACCGACAGACACACGCACAGGCACGCACTCCGTCCGGAGATCGTCTATTAGAGAGGATGTCTCACTTCTGAAAAAACAGTCTGAGACTACAAAGATGGCGCCCGCGCGCGTCATCACTGCAAACAGCAAAACTAAACTAAACGAACAGGGGCGTTGCTAGGCACAAAGCTTTCCTGGGGCACTGGCCCCCCACCGCATATGCCCCCTCCTGCCATACACAACTACAGACAAGCACACTGAGATATTAATAAGAGCATATTTGTTTTAACAAACAGGAACAATTTCAACATTGCAGCTATAAAAAATACGACATCAACAACTTTAAAAATAAAAAGTTTCCTTATACACATTCTGAAGTAATCATTAATTCCCAGGTTTCAGAGTTTTAGTTTGGGGGAAAGTTTAACTCATCCTGAGCTAAGTTTTTATTTTATTTATTGAGCATTAAAGTGTTCCTCCTATTTTTCATTTTTGCAAAGCGGTCAATCACTAGACTGTGACTCAGCTTAGAAAGTTCTTCCATTTCCACTGATAAAATAGCCAGATGATGGAGCCTGTCTGGTCCCATTGTGCACCTCAGCCCAGTGTGGATCCTTCTCAACACACTGAATGACCTTTCACCCCTCCAGCTGTAGACTGGGATGGAGATCTGGATGACCTGCGTTAGTGTTGGGAACACGATGTTATCAAGCAAGTTGGAAACACTGCATATCCTTCATGACAAGGATTTCTTTCTCAACCAGGAAAAGCTTTCAACCCATTTTGAATTAAATGAAAGTTTTTTTACTCCAAATCTGTCCTGAGGATAGTGGGACAACTTCACTTGTTTAGGACCATCATGTTTCCCCCTAAGTCACTAATGTCCCCTTCTTGTTTGTGGACGCTGGTTGTTGCTCCCTCATCACCTTCATGGTCCTGTCTCTCTCCTGTCTCTCACCTGTCTCTCCTGTCCTTCACCTGTCTCTCCTGTCCTTCACCTGT